CATGCGTGTGTGTGTGTGTGTGCGTGTGTGGTGTGGTGTGTGTGTGTGTGTGTGTGTGTGTGTGTGTGTGTGTGTGTGTGTGTGTGTGTGTGTGTGTGTGTGTGTGTGTGTTCCCGTGCGCACATTTGTACTTGCATGCATGCGTATGTGAACATATATATACATGTAAATGTATGTCTATATACATACTTTCTTTTTTCCTTTTCTTTATTGCCTTTATCTTTTCTTTTTCTTTTCTCTTAATATGTGTTGTGATATCTTAGCATATCATTTACCTTTATCTTTTTTAAGCAAATTTATTGTTATTGTTCTTATTATCATAATCATTGTTATTGTTATTGTTATTGTGGACTGTTATTGTCACAATCATTGTTATTATAATATTAATGATATTAATCACTATTATTTTTTTCAAATTTTTTGCTATTAGTATTATCATGATTGTTTTTATCAATGCAACATTCTATCTTTGTCCCCAGAGTTGGAGTGAAACTCGCCCTGGACCACACCCTCATTGGGGGCATCACCGGCTGGGCAGAACTACGGGCCTCCCTGGATGACTACTGCTGCAACTGGTACCTTGGGCCTGACCTCAAGAGCAACAGTGAAACCCCAGCTAATACCCATGGAACTCCATCCTACCAGAGGAGCGACGCAGAGTTGGCCAAACCAAAGTCCTGGGCAGAAGCAGTGAGGAAGGAAGTGCCGAATCTCTTTTCTCTGGGATATAATGCTGTTAAGGTAGGAAATAAGTAAAAATATGTATAGAGTAGAAAAAAAGTGAAAAAAGCTTTGAGGAGATTTATGTGAACCATATTGATTATGTGATAGTTGGCTTGGTGGTGCTGACAGTTTTGAAAGTACAGTGATGTTATTCATAAGAGTTTCCTTCAGCCAGTTATCACTAACTTCTCAAGTGTATCTTCACCTTGTAAGAAAAAGAAAAGAGAGAGAGAGAAAAAGAAGTAGAGTTTTATGATGGGAATGTTGAAAAAAATTCTAATCTCAGTCTAGCATTTATAAGTTTTAGTAACTACAGTTTTTGAACAACTGATTTTGTTCTAGGGCGTCTTCACATCACACCTGCTGAGTCTAGGAAAGGCAGAGATTGCAGTTGGTCGTTTGGGAGCTGAAACTGTCAGGGGTCTTTGGGCTTCCCTCATGATGGAGCTCCTGTATCTTACCAATGATGACGATGAACGATATTCAATTCAGGTAATTGGTTCTTTATATTTTATACATTGTGTGATATCATCATCCTTGTTTTGTTTTGCACTTAAAAAAAGAAAATGTTGATATGGTATACATATTTGTAAATTCTCATTGTCTGGTTAAATATTTTTGTTTCAATATTTGGCTTGACTTCTTTCCTGGTGCCATTTTCCCCTTTCTGCTTTACTTCTCTCCCTTTAAACCATTGCTTCATATTTTTATCCCATTATATATATTGTCCACTTTTTTCTTCTGCTGTCTCTCCAATACCCCATATTTCACAGTCAACCTATATCTTGCAGTGTCCGTTATCAAAGGATAAGTGCTAATTTAAAGTTGGAACTTTAACTGAGATAAGAATTTCCTTACTTCCCCTGTTCCTTATTACCCCCATTAATTCCATTTTAACCCTTCTAATTCTACAGGCCCAGCCTGGTCTCCTCCGTAATCTAACGGTGCAGGCAGCTGATCCTCCCCTGGGGTACCCCATCTTTTCCAGCCCTCCTCTTAGACTAGCAATCATATGGCTCAACGCTATATATGAGCAGCTGCCACAGGCTCAGGATGGGGAGGAGGGGGATGGTAGTTCATGGGGGGAGGAGGAGGAGGAGGAATCTCCATCAAATATTTTCACAGTCAGTGACAAGTCTGCTTAGAAAAGTGTGTGTGTGTGTGTGTGTGTGTGTGTGTGTGTGTGTGTGTGTGTGTGTGTATGTGTTGTGAAAGAGATTATTTCGACAAAATGTGTTTGTGAATGTGCAGTTATGTCTTTACAGAAGTTCACATGAACATGTATGTTGATTGTTTAGACTAATTATTTATTTTTCTATGATGATATAATGAGTTTTTGCAAATGCTTACTTCAGAGTAATTGCCAGGAATTTTTTGAATTTAGTGTTTTTTATCAGTTGTAATAATCGGTATAATGGAATTGTGGGACCATGAACTACTTTACAATTGGTCTTCCCTAGATATCTGAGCTGTCATGGTATATGCTCAATAAGTACTGTTTTATAGGATGTCCATCACATAGATATCAAAAGACAAAAAATGATAAATAGATGAAGAGATATATTATCTATGCAGACTGATTGGTATCTAGATATTTTATTCTTAGCAGGCTCTCTAGTTCAAATTAATCCAGTTTTGGAATCAAAAGAGTGAAACTTTTAATTACTTCTGTTTCTGATTTTACCTATAGAACAATCTTTTTTTTCTTAAAGTTGTGATATCTTGAGTAAGTGTGTGAAGTGAGCATCTAAAACACAATAACAAGAATTTGGGCTGTACGTCTATCTGAAAAGTCATGCATGAAGTGTTAATGTGTCCACCTGTAGCAGATAACCTCTAGCCATAATGAGGTTAACAAGATGACGACAACGAGAATGTTTCTGAAAAATCACATTTTAACTGTTGCCAAACTATGTACAATAGACTTCCTTTGCACATTCCCAGAGGAGAGGGAAGGTAAGGGTGTATAGTCACAGGTATGAATTAAGCTGTATTTAATAAATGTGATTCATGTTATTAAAAAAAATAATGATAAAAATGTTAATGCATTGTAATGGTGACGAGCAAAGGCGATTTGTCACAGTATTGTACAGGGTAATGTTGAAGAAGAAATTATCGATAAACATGACTAAACGAATTTCATGCAATAACAATAAACTAGACTTTTCCTCAGATGCAATACAAAATTTTTTTAAAATTTCAGCCAGTGGTATGTTGTGAAGATAATGTGGTACACTGTTAGATAATGTAACTATAGGCATCTTAATTTGCCACTGATCTTCCTTTAAAAGAAAGAAAGAAAGAAAAGAAAAAGCTTACTGTGGGCTCGCCTGTACGTCTGTAATTTTAAACTATTTAACTATATGTAAAGATGGAAACATTTTTTTAACAATTGTATGTAAATACAAAACAAAGCAAAAAATACTCTGCACTTGTCTGTGATAATGATTTGATAATAAGGCAGACTTAGTTGTTGCTTAATTATGCATTTAGGCTATTTCTCAGGGCAGGAGATTTATTCTACATTAATTCATTGGTTATCCATATGGAAAATGTTGATTAGAAACACAAGTTTTATTAATTTACATGTTTATCAAGTAAATTATGTATTCAGTGCTCACTTGTACAGTAGTCACACAAGTGCAAATATTAAGCATCAGTTTATATATTTTTTGTTAGATAACATTGGATTCCTTTTGTGTCTTACAAGTTTTATATATGGTTGAGATTATTGATTATATGCATTTGTATGTTATGGTAATTAAAGATACTAATAGCTTATATTTCTGTATACTGGTATAGATACTTAAATCTCTTAATAAATAAATATATGTGTATATATTGCATGTATAAGGCATTGTCATCCTTAACTATAAAAATTCATGATTACATTCATGGAGTCCATTGTTATCTGCAAAAAGAAAAAATGTCATGAAAATGTTGAATATTGTGATCACTTTGATATTTGTTTATTTTTAATAAAATAACAAAATCATCTGTCTCTTTATTTCCTTGAGTGTACATGATAGAATTATCTTTAAATGATATACAAAGTTCTTAATCTGATTAGCAAGTAAAAACTCAAGCTGAAAGAGAAAACTAAAAGATAAAAGATATACTTGCACACCCTTTTTCAGATATCATGTCTTCATAGCCGTGTCCTCGAGAAGTAGTTTAACCAGTAAGGAACAGCAGGAACAGCAACCCTAAGAGGTTTTATTTGCATATAGAATGGAAAAAAACCTGTCAGCTTGAATTATTCTAATTCAGATATTTCTTTTTTTTTTTTCTTCATCATCTTTTTCTTTTTCTTTTTCTTCTTTTTCTTTCAGGGATTTTTCAGAGATTGTCCAGTGTGGACGTACCTAAAAATGATAAATACCATGTTTCATCTTTAAAGGGGTAAATCTAGATGATGGAAATTTCTTGGTTGAACTACTGGTAAAAGACTGATTGTATTTTTCATTAGGTATTTATTTACAAATATTTATTTCCTGATTTTGGTTTTACGTTTAAGTACCATGCAGTTAATTCTATGTTGGTATTTCAGACTTTTTTGTTTTTATTAGGTTTCTCATTAATTCTTTCTCTTTTGTTAATAGTTTCATGATAATTTTTACTGCCTGAAGAAAAGAAAGTTCAATATTATATCGAATGAATATATCCTATATGCTATGTTTTGAAATTTGAGATTTTGAAAACTTTAATTTTTCCATAAATACTTCTTTCTTAGAATTTTTAACCTAAATTAGACTAAAAATTATGCTCTTTCTATTCCCACCATTTGCAAGAGAAATCAGTACTTATTGATGTCATTAAACAATTTCCTTTACTTTTTTATAGAAAATCATATCACCTTTTTTCATCAAGGAAGAATAATACAATGGCATACATTTAAAAATAATACCTTGATTCTCTTTTACATCAGAGGGTAACACTGTGATCTAAACTGTCATTTGCTAATATCTATTCTCTTCATTAATATTTTTGTTTCAAATATAAGTATGGAGAATGGATGGATATATTTGATTATGTGACAATTCAGCTTGCATTTTAAATACATTTTTATAGGCAAAATCAACAGAGGCTTTCATACTAACAACAAACTGAAACAACACGATCTTTGTACAAAGGACTAACATTCACACACATATCTTATTTACATAACTTGCATTATTCTTTGTACAATATTTATATAATATCCCACTTATATTCCCTCTCTCTATGGAATATTATTGTCTAAAGTAAGCCTAGATGTTATGAAACAGGACACTACA